CGTTACATGCGCGCGAACTTGATGTATAATTTGCAAAATTTTGTGTTACTCACTCATTTATTGGAGGGCACTGTACAGTACACTCCCCCTACATAAATTACCGTCAAACACATAGTAAAAACATATGAAATTTTCAATTTTTCAAAGAGCTCTATTGCACGTATCTACTATGTAAGTCACGACGATTTTTTACCGATTTGAAGATAATTGACTGTACTTTTTGCGAGAAATAGTGGTATATTTAGCCCTGTTATCATTCCGAGGCTGCAGTTCGATAAATGACTCTGTTTACATTACACATATGTTTTCCACAGATTTTCATATTGTAACATAGATACTGTCACTTTGTTGAATACAAGTTTTGGAATAATAACGGGCTTAAATATACCACCATTTCTCTCGAAAAGTAATCTTCAAATCGGTACAAAAATCGTCGTGACTTACATAGTAGATACGTGCAATAGAGCTCTTTGAAAAATTGAAAATTTCATATGTTTTACTATGTGTTTGACAAGAAATCCGGTAATTTATGGTAGGGGGAGTGTATAATATTTGACCGTTACCGTCATATTATGTGCCAATATTTTTTATCGTATGATGACAGACGTCATATTTCGTACCAATTGCAGTATTTTAAATGCAGTAATTATCATATTTGTTCAATTATGCAATTCTCGGTCATACGGTTGAGACGTGGAAATATAATTGGGGAAATAATTTATCATTAAAAAATTGCTATATAAACAACGCAAGCTTCCATATTTACAATTTGTCTTTTGACATACTCCAATAACTGTTCAAGAAAATGTCTCAACAAAGAACAACGTAATATTATTTCGACATTGCAAAAGCGCAAAATTTGCTTGCGTGCCAAAGCCAAAAAACGTTAATGCCGCAAAACACTTTAGAATTAGTCACAGATATTTTGAAAATTTTTTGCTAAATGACTCGCAATCGACCCAAATTCGTATAAAGCAAAATTGAAAAAGCGCGTTTCTCGAATTTGCCAAAAATTGAAGAACTAACTATTTGGATCGAAAAGGCACTTGAATGTAATCCAACATTACAGGCGCCCTCATTCAACAAAATTTTTTAAAGTTTGCAGAGTTGTTAGGAATAACAGATTTTAAAGCATCATCTGGTTGGCTTGAGAAGTTTAAAAAAGGTAGTCCATTAGTGCATTCAATAGACATGGCGAGTCTCAATTAACGAGATTCCAGAAATTAGAAAGGAATTGAAGGCCGTCATTAAACAGTATTAACCACATAATGTTTTTAATTGTGATGAAACAGATCTGTATTAGTATTGGAAGGTGGAGGATTATGAACTGGACCTTTATCAGGAACGAAGCAAAGCAAAGAGAGAATTACCATCTTAATAACGTATAATGCAAGAACTGATTTCATTATTATTTATAAATACCAAAACCCACGTCCATTGAACGGAATTAGTAAAAGTTTATTTATTACTGGAATAGCAAAGCATGGATGCAAATCTCTGTATTGAATGATTATCGAAAAACATTAAATAACAAAATGCGTAGGGCAAATTGGAATATATTGCTGTTAGCTGACAACGCGCCAACACATAATTTACCGGATAGTCTTAATTTAACGAATGTGACAATACATTATCTACCACCATAGCTTTAAGGTTTGTACACTAATACGAGTAAATATTAATTATTATAGATTATACTCTTACCATTTATTATTCATTATCGGAACAGCTGCTCGAAAAATAATAAAAGCCTTTGATAAACAACAAACTACTGGTAATAAGTCGAAACCCATTGATATAAAGAAAGCAGTAGATTTTGTTGCTAAAGTATGGAATAATGTTAATTACTAATTGTTGGAAGAAAACTGAAAATAGTAATTAATGTTACATCCCGACAGCAGCTGGCTATTCAGAGTTTGATTGACAGTTTATCAGTCGATTCAACGAAATGCAAGAACTCAAAAACCAATTAAACCGCATAGAGGTCATAATTAGCGGAAAACCCCCCGTTACCAGTCACGGATTATATTAATTGATGACGGAGACATAAGCAAGGAAATGATGACAGACACGCAATCTCTTTCCTGCAGAAGAAGAGAAAGACAGTGATAAAAGTGGCTCGAAATTTCTCCCTACCGTCTTTATTAAAATGCAGTAGTTGCACTTGAAACCGTATTCAACAGTTCCCAGATGTAAAACATATCACCCTGCATTTCTTATTTATTGATATCAAAGTTTATTCATTCTGATTTGTACTTCTTTGAAGGAGGTCATAGTCATAGATAAACTTTTTCCATACTTGAAGGAGTGAAGATCAATATGCCTCTCAAACATAACATTGTCAAATAGTCAGTTTGAAGTCCATAACATCATATAAATTTGTGCATATTAATAAAGTATTATGGTTTGAATGAAATAAATCACAAAATAAACTGACTGGTTCAGCTGGAAAGTCTAATAATAATAAATGAAAATCTGTAAATCATTATATTTTCCCTAATACTAATAGGGAAACCCTCATAGTAATTATAATAGTAATAGAGTGTCACTGATTTTTATGAATTCATATTTTACTGGAATTAATAGATTGCCATGACAATGAAATAGGCGCATTTGTTGATTACCAATTTCACATGCGAAAATCGTCGAAAAAGAAATTCTTGAGACGATTTTGCACTAGTCCCGATATAAACATTTGGATAAATAATTATACTATGGCTGAACACCAAACAATAATGCAAAATCATGTTGACTCAGACTCTTATCAATATGTAAATGCCTCAGAAAAAATTCAATTTAAATTACGGATCCGTCCTCGCCCTCAAAACAAACACTTTTAACATGGGAGAGCTAACTAGCGGAATCATGCAACGGGGAAATAGAAGCGGGTAAAAAATATCTACGAAAATAATTTAAGTTGCAGAGTCACTTGCGCTCAGCTGATATTCAGATTCCGCGAACGCAAAAGACGCTGATGGCTTATATCCCTCGAGACTTTTGGTGAAACCACCGAAATCTTCAAGGCACTGCGGCGATTATCTCAGTGACTCGTGAACATAATTATTCCGTCGATGAATATAACCTCTTCTTGTATTTTTGCGCTAAAAAGCGTTATTATTTCGGCGTTAATTTCTACATAATTGATATTCGTGTCGATAAACACAGACGTATTTTATACTGAATATTGTAGTATGCTCCTTCTTGGAAGAAGTTAATGGTTTAAGACTTGGTCTGCAGTAGCAGTTCTTGTCGCATAGAAGGCAAAGTACATTCGCATGCATTGAATTATGGTACAACTGCGGAAAATAAAAACGAATACAGTTTGCGCCTCTCTACTGTCACCCTCCGTATAGTCACACGTCACATGATAAATACGATGATTGGGAGAATGCGCATTACTCACGATCTATTTAAAGCACTTCACAATGAATTGTATATGTGCCGAGATTTTATAGAGGACACTCTTTACAGTTACAACCTCTTTACAGTGACTGTAGAAGAGGACGAACTGTACTGTTCTATTTGCACGTTCCTGGTATTTGTCGTTTGGGCGTAGCGTTCAATTTATCGCAGCACATCCTATATTTGGTAATAGTTTGAGGACGATTCTTTCTAAATTAATAATCTGGTTTTTGTATGTATGAGTACGTATTACTCCTTCTGCGCCAACTAAAACGCATAAGACTCTCGTTGATGAGTGTTTAATTAGCCAGCCACACACAAGTTGTATTTTTTCCCCCGCCAATACGATAAAGAAACAAAAAAACGTCAATCGCACGGAGCATGTTTTCAAGTATTTGGAGTAAACGAGGGAGTGGGGGCGGAGACTCTTCAAGCGCAAGTGAATCGCACCAGCCGCTATTCTTTACTGTGCCTAGCATAGTTGGCGAAGAGGATCTGGAGGAGTCGATCTCGTTGCATGGCGGTAGAGTGGTGTATAGCGAATATGAAGACGACGGGGAAGAGGCTGAGCCTGATGAGGAGTTTTGGAACGAGCTGTCGGGTAGGCCTTCAAGCTCTAAACAGGTAAATTACTAGGAAGGCGTAGAGCTTATGATCATTATTGCAGCATGCGATCAGGCAGTTGATATGAAATTCTACCGCTTTGCATACTTATAGGCTCCTGCAGATATATATCTAGATATCCCGACGATGCATTCAGCCAGGCGGTCTAGGGATTCGCTATCTGAAGGATTGCTTCCGTCTAATGCTGTATGTGTGATGTTTTTATGTATGCACGGCAATAAGAGATCAATCGCGTCTAGGACTATATTTCGCGTGCATTTGCAAACTAAATCTTTACACTATTGCCATCAACGTTGTTTTTATATTCTCACAAAAATCGTATACTGATTCATCAGATACCTCCAGCTCTAACGTCGAACGTAGGACTGCGTAAATACAAAGACGTTCCATTCGCCGGACTTTACCTCTTTCTCCTGCTGATCATGTTTCTCACTGGAGTAATTCTATTTTTCACCACGACAGTACGTGTTTCACACCATTTAATATTGTATTGTTTTCTTTTCTATACACACACGTTAATCTCTATCTTTCTCAAACGAACGTAGAGTTCGCGTTTGGAAGGATATACTCATGGAGCTGTATTTCTTGCTATAAATGGTTGTGCAGGTATGAAATTACATTTCAATAATCGCAACGTTTTGTCGTTGACTAGAGATTGTGGTCTGCAGACATTAACTTTGATTCATTGACAAATGCAGGATCGATTGCATTCTCTATTGTGTTTACATTTGTCGCTGCCGTAGTGTGGATATACTTCATGCGATCATGTGTTAAGGTATGAATCAAGAACTGACTCGAATCAATAATGCATTGCTATTTTTTTAATTTACATATTTATTAAATTTGCTGTAGGTATTAGTCTGGAGTACTCTCACAGTAGTCCCGGTAGTTACAGCAATAATGTTTATCTGGGTAATAAGAGCATCGTCCACCGGAAAACTTCGAGATTCTGGCGATCCCGATCCACAAGACGACAGGTAACATGTTTGGAATCGACGAAATCCGGCGTTAATTTCGCTTTTGGTGCACAGCGTTTGACAAAATTTCATTTTTCCTGAAGTCTTCGCATCCTCTCATTGGCTCCTCTTGGAATATGCGCGATTTATGCGTCGTTGCTTTATTGGCAAAAAAGAAGAGTAGAGAAGGCGGTTACTGTTATTGAGGTTTGGTTTGCTAATTCCAGAGGACAATATTAGTTATATGATAGATGAGTGCAAGTTAATATTTATCGTGATAACATTATCTCATTTAGTTGGCATCCGAAATTCTTCGTGATAATCCGGAGATGTTGAAAGTATCTTTGTTAATCCTCGGAGCATATATTGCATTTAGTGTAATATGGCTCATATTCTTCAGTCGTTTATTTTTGGTTGGTCACATGATATTTAATAATGGGGGTATGCTATATGATCGAACAGTTTTATCTATTCTATGTGATATTGCCTATTATTAAGATAACTTGCTCGTTTATTTTGGTAGATGGCATATGGGTGATGGATACGTCAGCACATTTATTGATAGGATTTTTCCTTTTCATGTATTTATGGACATCGGCCGTGCTTGGAAATATTCAAAGGTACATAATACATAAACTAGTCAATTCTCTCTTTTTTAACGTCAATATAACACAATTCAACTTGTAGAGTTACGCTAGCGGGAACTGTATCACATTGGTACTTTCATAGGCAAGTCATTTATATTCGTTGTTTGCACATTTTTGATGCCATTCGTCGCCTAACATTCAAATGCTTATCTGTAGACATGAACCAGAGAACTTCAAAGAACAAAGTCCAACTCAGATAGCATTGTCTCACGCATTAACTACGTCATTTGGCACAGTCTGTTTTGGTGGATTAATATTATCATCTGTACAAGCGTTAGCTTACATCACCAGATTCCTTAAGAAGGTAGATTTAATACGTTTTGCTTTCCATTGAGAATGAGAACGACATGGATAAAATGACTAATTTCTGTTTTCAAATGTAGAAACTTAAGGGCAAACTGAATCCAATATTTTATTGCATATACATATTCATGCAATGTCTCGATGGCGTAGTAGACAGCATAAATAACTATTCAATTGTATATGTTGGAATATTTGGAATGAGTTTCTGTTCTGCTGCATTGGAAGCAACAAAAATATTTCGAAGAAATCTTATTACTGGATTGAAGACAGGTAAGCACATAATCAACTATTGGTTGGAAGTAGCATTAAGATCAACAGTAACCGAATGTTTATAAACTATTAGGTCTTATTACGAAAATGATTCTATATATTGGATCAGTGATACTCGCTCTCACATGTGGATTCGCTACATTTATATTTGCAACGCATTCACTTGAATCTCCGTATGGATATGTCTCTGGTATAATTGCATCGCTTATTCCATTCTACATATCTCAATTTATAACAAGTATTATGATGAATACGTGAGTATTACAGATAATCGGTATATGATCAAGTCTTGTTGATGGCATAATGTTTTTCTCTAATCCATGACATTTCATTTGTAGTATCGATGCAACATTTTTCTGCTATGCAATCGATTTGGATGTTAATATGAATCACTGTAATAAGGCTCACGAAGCATTTAGCTGATTTTCAAGAATACGGGGTTTGGGAAATTTGGACTTTTTTTCTATCATACAGAAAAGTGGGTTGTATTACTACTACTACTACTACTATACTACTACTATACTACTTGTAATATTAGAATAAAGAGACATAACAAAATGCAAAATATAATTGACATTCGCGGGAACGATGAAGGACGAATTTATTAGGGAATAAATTTCAATTATCAAGTTACGATTAAAAGGAGACAACCACCCAGGATTGCTATTTCTCGTCCTCGTTCCTCAGCATACTCAGTTCCAACAACCAGAGATTATTAATAATATCCGATGTATCAAGTTAGTGATAGTATGCTTATATATGGCATCCTTCATCCATTTAGAGATCATACTCTCAACAACTTTTCCTCATCGTAAGAGCTAACATGATCTTATGAAGAATCACTCTTGCCGGCGACATTGATATTATAACTTGTATGCGTTAAACAGATAATTTTGACACGTGATCTACGCAATAATGACAAGTTTATTATAATAATGTATATGATAAAAGCATGGAAGGAAAGAAGCTTTTTCAGTCTTTGATCAGGATTTTAAGATATCACTCATATACTAATAGTAAAGCTACTGACTTAAAAGAAAGCCAAAAAAGGTGCTCAAAACCAAATCGAAGAACTATTGCAAAAGAATGGGGTTGAAGTTAATAACTTAGATCCTAACTTGTGAGCAGGTAGCCTTGATTGAAAAAAACACTGGTTTATTCATAACATTTCTAATTTTACAATTTCTTTCAGAAATAAAACGTTGTTTTAGGGGAAATTTGGAGGGAGTAATTATGGAATAAATAAAGGTTAGGGTATAGTCGTAAATGTATGATTTCAGTAAGTCGGTTTATCAGAATAAAAAGTAGTAACTATAGTTATTAATACTAAGGTTAATATGAATAATAGTGAAAGCATTTATCAAGAAACCTGGACCGAACCAGAGCATACTGAAAAAAAAATAATGAAGAGATGAATATGATTGTCATGAATGCGAGCTATACGCACCCTAATGAAACGAACTATAGTTTTCATGTACTGTCATCCCAAAACGGTGAAACACAACAAAGTCTTTGCTGAATCAGCACGGTGAGAAGCGACAATTAACCAAATTTTTAAATTCACCGAATTGCTTTACCCGAAGAATACGCCAGAATTTGAGGTAAAAAAGACGAAAAAGCAGAATTAACTCGCGTTTAAAAAGATTAGCCAGTCCAGTGTGGAAGTAAAAGAAAAGAAATCCATCAACCAGGTTTCGCCACTCTGGTTAATTTCCACCATGTTAGTAATCGCGGCCGTAACGGCAGCATGGTTGCACTCAGTATCAGTAATTAAATTTGTTTTCAAATAAATTAGTAAGTACTGGTGCCGAACTGTTTAATCATCATAACATGATCGACCATGCATAATGTCCCTGAAAACTTTAATATACAATTTAATATAAAACTTGTGGCAAACGATTCAATATTAATTGAACGAATTATCGTTCGTACTAACTCAACGTCTACAATACATTGCCATTGCTGCCAACCGCTGAGTATGGATATTCTGCTTAGGTAATAACTCATTGTTAGTTAATGGAAATTTCTCCCACGAGATATCGACACTTGTCTCCCTCAATTAATAATTGAGAACGTTTAGAATCAGTATTGCTGACTAATTCATGACGGGAACATTCCTCCCCGAACTCGGGCTACTTCAAGGTCTTTTTTGGCGATCCAAATTTTCATAGTCCCGGAATTGAAGTTACAAATTTTATAGCATTATTATTATTATTTTATTCATACCCATGTAAACCATCCCAAATTCTGATTCACATATCGTTAGAATAGCTAGCTAATATTTATATATTAATCACATACAGCAATCTAATAAATGGCAGCATGGTTACTATCCCTGGGGGAAATATCGACTGGAAGGTAAATGTGCTATAGTTAGTCCAATTTAATATATTATATGGCTCTGCTGCTGTATAGTAAAATACATTAATATAAACAGTAATAAAATTTTGACTTGTCAAGAAAGACATATTAATGCAAACAAAATTTTACGATAATCAAACTTTTGTTAATCGAATAAAATTTATTACAAGACTAATTTTGCCAGCTTTAATGAAGCAAGACTTATAACTGGTCTTTTTCTTTGTGGCTAAAAAGTCTAACACCAGAATTTGCTGCTCTAAAGCTTTGTTGTTGCAAAACCAAGTCGTTAACCATGCAACAACAAAATGCAATGTCTATTTACATAATTACATAATAACAATCCGTCAAGCAGTTTTGTATATTATATAACGGTAAGTTTATTTTTTGAATAAATTTTAACATGCATTTGCACTTCTTGATAGCTACTTACAGCAGTTTTTGCTTGCACAGTTGCAGGCTATCAATTCTTTCCCACGTAGTCGTAAAAATAAAAGAATAAAAATTCTAAAAATTTTTCAAAAATTGTAAGCTACTGTAGTCTGCGTATTTAACTATAATGTTGCAAAAGGCTCAAAATTTCTTAGTTTGTATTAAGGCAATGTAGTTCGGGCAAACGCTATTTTTGCTTTCTATTTTTATTTTTATTTTATTTGTTTTTATTTGTTTTTATTTGGTTTTTTGGCAATAAATTTTATGCTTTCTGAAACAGCGCAATTACGCGTAAACGCAGAAATTTTGTTGTGATATATTTATTAGTTATATTTTTACCTTCTCCCCTAATGATACCAAACCTTAACTATCAAGTTAAAAAAATAATTTCAACTTGCGATACCCGGTATGTATCAGTAGCTATCTACGGAATATACACTAATGTACATAATCTATTCTATTTTATTAGACAAGTTTGGTTTATTTGTTAACAAATTACAGATTAAATGTAAACAATTGTGTCTGTGTATGTAATAGAAAGCTAACAGTTCTCAAAAATACTGTTGACTAAACTTTTTAAATATTGAACTTAATTGAAATTTGCCTTTAATTGAAAACGCTGGTTCTAACACAACGCATAGTGGTGAATTACATATAGATTACTATTTCATTACTATCAGCCTTACTATAGAAATGATAATAATTAATAAGCCTATGTATCGGTAGCCGACAAATTAAGTTTCCATAAGATGTGGTAACGAGACAGTCAAGCAAACCTATTACTGGGCTCATAGATGTCAGAATGCTTGCAATTGTGCGTCATTTCTAACATTTTCTGCAGTCAATTTTACAATGTTTTTGTAACTTTTTCTTCACGCTCATCTCAACAAGTCAAGATTCAGATAAATATACATTAAGCGAGCCTATAGTTCTTCTACCAGTAAACAGACAAAGCGTTTTTTCAATAATCAAATAGTTTGATGTAAAAGTACTGAACCGTGAATTCAAAATATCAATAAGAAAGAAAGTGGAAAGTGCTTGTCAATAAGTCTTCGGATATGACTTGTAGGAAATCATTCATACTAGGATAAGTACAGTATGTTGTTTAAGGATGGGTGGTACGTCAAAACTGAAAGTTAAGCAGTTGGCTATTCGATGAGCACAATTTGGGAAATTCTTACAAAATCTTAATGCATGATGAATATTAATGTCAAATGATAAGTAACGAATATCCTATTTTTAGTTTTACACAGATCTGTCAGTATCTCTTGTCCCTATTGTAATTCCGGTCAATGATCGCTTTAATATTAATGCATCAGACCTTACCCTTTTTTAATTTTTTGTAGCCAACTGCCGGAATATCGGAAAAAGAATTGGAAGAAGGGATAACTTCCCTCTTTTAGCATGTGGAACTCTCTTGCATCATGCAAGATATGGTGTACGTGTCGCTGCCCCCCATCGTCTCTTACCGAATTTTTGATAGAAGGCTGATAATCGAAGAATGATTAAGAGCAAAAATTGTCATTTAAGTATTACTGATGTCATATGTTCTTGTGTGCACTTGTATGATGTTACCTGATTAAAGGTAATCCGGCATTTGCTTAATTAATCATCATTTGCTGCTTGGCAATGGCGAGGTTTGTGCTAAATAAACAAAAATGTTCAAGATAAGAAGAAAGATTGCAAATGATCGGACAATTATGAGCATCGTATATAATCTATTGATTTTCGATATAAACACCAATTTTATTCATTATATTCTCATGCGATAACTGGTCTTACGGATTTCCGCATTGCTGACGATAATGATAGGCTTTACTAAAAAGTTATCAGATCTGGTTTTTCAGGCATTGTCGTATATCTCATCCTTCGTTGTTATTATTAATTAATAAACAGCGTGTTCCAATTAGTCTTAATTAAGCTGACCGCTTATGATTATCGATCGTTACTAAAATCGAAGGAAAGATAACAGAATATCTCTTACTGAAACCATTACTTTGTTTGGTTTTCGAATATTACAACCGAAGGACAAATCAAGTTAGAGAAAACATAACATAACATAACATACGTCAAACAGCTGCGTTTAGACTAGAGACGTGTTTTTAAAAACGGTATTTTTACTATTATAGTTATGATAAAGTTAAATTTTAAACAAAGCTAAATAACGATTGATCGGCAAATATGAGATTATTGAACGGGAGTAACACCCATTTAGGGAACTTTGGTTGGTATGTCTAGCTAATAACAAATCTGCTTTTCAATTTAATTGATATTGATTACGTAGATTTAACACGGATATTTAATATTCTCTGATTTGCAATTATTAAAGTTAACTAGAAACTTTTCGTATATTTTGTTTAGCGAGTGCTAGGAAAGGTTTTCATATGTTTTGAATTCTTATATTAAGTTGACTAAAGATATCGTGTGTCTGAAGAACCATTATAAACCATGCCAATCGAATTACAATAGATAGTTGATTAATCTATACTAAAAAAGAAGGTTTGCGCGAGTAGCAAAGTAAGCAGATAGACACGCATGATTCACTATTATTATTATTTTTACTATCAATCTCGTAAAATCAGAGTAACGCTTTCCAATTCGGATAAAATTTTTATATACAAAGAAAACATATT